AAGAGGGCCTTCACCTGACCATGCTGGCAACCTGATCTTGGACTTCCAGCCTCTAGAACTGTGAGGTATCAATTTCTATTGTTTAAAAGCTATTTTGTTACAGCAGCCTGAACAGACTAAGTTAAATAGTATGTTTATATTGATTACCTGATAAAAATATAATACCCGCCCTAACCAGTTTGGCTCAGTGGATAGAGCTTCGGCCTGAGGACTAAAGGGTCCCAGGTTCGATTCCGGTCAAAGGCATGTAACTTGGTTGTGGGCACATCCCCAGTAGGGGGTGTGCAGGAGGCAGCTGATCGATGTTTCTCTCTCATCGATGTTTCTAACTCTCTATTTCTCTCCCTTCCTCTCTGTAAAAAAAAAATCAATAAAAATATATTTTAAAAATATATATAATACATTAGGTATTTGGGTTAAATACAGTATTAAAGTTAATTTCATCTTTGTTAATGTAGCTACTAGAAAATTTAAAGTTAAATAATGGTATTTGTAGCTCACATTATATTTGTATGGGCAGCATTGCTCTATACAACATTATCTTCTATAAAGATTCATAACACAGATGATATCTTCACCATTATAATCTCATAGGTTTGAGCCAAAACCAAAATTAGTGCCTAAAAACATTTATTTAAATTAAAAACATCTTCCTAACAATAGCTGTTAATAACAGGCTTTAAATTACCTCAAGGAATTCAAATTAACTTAGTAAATCTAGTTATTACTTTTTTATATGTATTTTTATTGATTTCAGAGAGGAAGGGAAAGGGAGAGAGAGATAGAAACATAAATGAAGAGAGAGAATCATTGATCAGCAGCCTCTTGCATGTACCCTACTAGGGATTGAGCCCACAACCCAGGCATTTGCCCTTGACTGGAATCGAACGAAGGCCCCTTCAGTCCATAGGCAGACACTCTATCCACTGAACAAAACTGGCTAGGGCTTTTTAATTTAAATTAGTTATTGTTTAAAGTATTACATAAGTCTCTTTTTCCCCCACCATTGACCTCTCCCTGGCTGCTCTAGTCATTACTTTTTAAATTATCTTAAGGGCAAGTTTCTAGAACTATTCCTCATTGAAGTTCATTTCTAAATAATCTGAATCACATTGGTACATTAAATAGTCTCTTTTAAAAATATCTTTGTTCCTTGAGGACTTTCTCTAAAAATATTTAAAAAAGAAAAGGAAAGTTAAAATTATGCTGGCTAATGGAGCAATTATCCAAGATCCATGAGGTTCAAGTTAATGAAATTGTACCAAATCTGTTGCTGAGTTTGAGGCCAGTATTATTCAATTCTTTTTTAAAATAATATCAATGGAAAAATTCAGCCCAAAATATAAAACAAGTCATCTTGACTGAAAAATTCTCACAACTGAAGCAATGCCATAGAAATCCTTACTGACATATCTCATCTTCTTACATTCCTTTAACATTGTGAAATGAAACACCTCTCACAAGCTGTTTCTTAGTCAGATTTCTTGCCCTAAATAATAAATTCCATCCCCAACCTGGGCAGCTGCTTTTTCCGTGAGCTTGTGCTTCGGGCGTCAGAGCTGGACTCCACATTCATGTTATAACACGGTTCCTCTGCCCACACTCATCTATTTGTTCACTGGGAATGGTTTTTGAGAGTCTACACTGTGCCTCGTCCTGCTGTAGGTGCTTAGGATGTATCAGTAAAAAATAAAATGACCAGGTGGCTTAGCTGGTTGTGTAGCAGGACGATAAGAAGCTAGGAAAATCCCTGGGCAAGTGGAATGGGGAAACTGAGACAAGAAAATTAAACAAGGCCAAACAGTATGGGCAGCTTACAGCCAGCTTGTGAATTGCAAGATCTGTCTTCCCTAGCCAAGGGAAGCAAATGGTTTAGACCTGCCCTCCCAACCAGAAAATACATAGTTTAATTCACCCTGGCCTGGGAAAATAGAGAACAAAAACCCAACTAATGCCTTTTGTGCCAGCTGAATTCAAGAATGGATGAAGTTGGGGAACAAATGACAAAAACCACATTAAAGCCAGACAGACCTAAGATAAAAGTAAAACAGACCAAAGAATAATCCCAAACTCCCCTATGTGCTCATTTTGATGCATAGGCATATTAAAAATACACCTAGAAAACTGATGAATGTCCTACTGACACCCTCCCCTAAGATTCTCACCTACAGAAAAGATCAAATTGATAAAAAGACCCCTGGACAAAGACTCAGCGTGGACTCACTCGGCCCCTTCCCGGGCATTAACTTTTTATTTCTTAGGGTTCCCACGAGACTTACAGCCAGGGGAGAAGTGGGCAGTGACAGCTCGACCCTGGCTCACTCCCTAATCCTGTCTCCAAGGCCCCCTTTTCTCTGACTTCCCAGTAAGCTAAAGCAGCCTCACCTTGGCTCACTTCTATCACTGCGACCTTCACTTCCCAGTGAACTAACAACAGCCCCACCTTTGCTCATAACATTTCTAGAGGCCAAAGCACAGCCTAAGCCAGCCGTAGGCAAACTACGGCCCGCGGGCCAGATCCGGCCCATTTGAAATGAATAAAACTACCGTATTTGCCGGCGTATAAGACGACTAGGCGTATAAGACGACCCCCTAACATTTCCACTCAAAATACAGAGTTTGTTATATACTCGCCGTATAAGACTACCCCCTCTTCCGCACACCTTCCACACACCAAATAAAAGGTAAAACAATATCAGATTTGATTTTAACATTTTAATTTATATTCAAATGCTTATGACATGCAGGAAAACTGTCACAAGGCTGTATGTAATCAAACATATACATAAAACAGTGCAAGTTTATTACCGGTAAACATACCGGTAATTCACTAAAGAAAACACACTCTGTAGACTGGTACCGTAGATGCTTCTCAGGAACACAGGCAAGCAGCCCACAACCTAGAGGGACTGTCAATGATAGAAGA